GGCACGTGCCCAGGACCTGGAGGTCAGGGAGGAACCAGACAGCAGGCAGATAGGATATGGGGTGAGGCGTTGGCAGAGAAGCTGAGAACCCACAGCTGCAGTCTGAGCCAGTAGCCTTCCTGGGGCTGAGTGTCCCACTGCCCGGAGAAGCAAGCAGGTGAGACACGTCAGGGTTAATAAGGTGTGGACACACTACAAGGGGGAACCTTGTAGTGCCTCACCTCGCCTCAGGTTTCTGTTACTGTTCTTTAGAGAACAGAAGTGAACTGGGCCTGTCCTGTTAGATAAGAGGTGATCAGCGGGATCAGAATTTGGGTCAGGCCGTTAGAGACAGATCAATTCACCTCAGAAACAACAATGGTATTGACTGGGGTGAGTGGCACCATTCCTGTGACGTCACTGACAGGCATGGCCCCTGCCATGCTGGTCAGGGAGACGCAGATGAGGGTCCAGCTCTACATGTGGTCCAGCGGGATCAGAATTTGGGTCAGGCCGTTAGAGACAGATCAATTCACCTCAGAAACAACAACGGTATTGACTGGGGTGAGTGGCACCATTCCTGTGACGTCACTGACAGGCATGGCCCCTGCCATGCTGGTCAGGGAGACGCAGATGAGGCTCCAGCTCTACATGTGGTTGGTAGGCCGGAGCCAACACATCCTTCCCCAGGTTGACACTCCAAGAATGAATGTTCTGACTGTTCCACACAGGCCGCCTGGGAAATCTTCCAGGCACCACTTTTGAGTTACTAAGTCCTGAAAGAAGTTCAGAAGCCTCTTTCAAATCATCAAAACAAGGATGGGCGGGAGCAGGAAGAAGATACTCTGAAAGTTCTAGAACGGCTTAAGTACTCGTCACAGTAACAACGAGCTGCAAGTGCATGGTAGGCCCTGCCATGAACACCTCATTCAAGCTTCACGGCCCTGGTGAGAGGTACTGACACCCCACTTTGTGCCTCTGTGCCACACAGCCAGGATGGGGCAAAGCCAAACCACTGACTCCAAAATCCATGCTCCTAACCATTCCAACTCTTGACCTGTCACT